TTTTAGATCATTTGAATTTTTGTATTAATATTTTTTATTTAAATAAATATAATAAAATAAAATGATAAAAATAAAATTAATACAAATATATATCTCATAATGTCAATCACCAATCTTAATACCACTAACGAGTGATTAAGTTTTAATTTCTTGTACAAAATTTATGAGATCAGTTAAATCAGGAGTTTCTGGTTTTAATTTTTCTATTTGAATAATAACTTCACGAAGTAATTGTGGTGGTAGGTTTTTAAGAATACTAATAATATCTTTAATATCAGTTTTTAATTCTTTTAATTCTTTATCAATATTTTCATAATTAGTTTTTAATTTTTCATTTTCTTTAGTTAAATTATCACGTTGAATTGTAGTATTAGTTAATTCAGTATTTAATTTTGTAATGTCAAGTTGAACTTTGATACTATCATTTTTAAGTTTTTTCAATTCTTCAGTATCAGTTTTAAGTTTATCTAACAGTATTTTTTGTTGATCGTACATTGTTCGTAATCTTGTATTTTCATTTTGTAATTCTATAATTTTAGCATCTTTTTCTTTGAGTTTGTTTTCAAGATCTTTGATTTCGATTTTATGTTTTTTTTCTAATTGTTCAATGGTTTCTTCAAGTTGTTTCGTTTTTTCTTTTTCTTTTTGAGTAATTCTTTAGTTTCTTTATGTTTTTTCATTTCTTCTTCTAATTTTTCTCGAGTTTCACCGTGTAGTTTTTTTTCTTGTTCATATTTTTTCTTCATATCTTCGTATTCTTTTTTAACTTTTTCTGTTTCTAATTTAGTTTTTTCATAAAGTGTTTTTAGGTTATTAATATTTTGTAAAAGTTGTCTAGAATTATTTTGATATTGGCCAGTATGATTATAATACCAAACAGCATTATTGTATTGTTGTCTGTAAGATATGAGTGTATTATACCAAGTGGTCCAAGCAGCTAATAATAAACAAAGAACCATTTTTTTTTACAACTAAAAAATATTTTAGATACGTTTTTATTTGTTATTTAAATATATTATTTATATTGTTATATTATTTTAATAATTTATATTATTATTTTAAAATTAAATATTTAAACTCAAGATATTAACAAAAAAAAAAAATAAAAAAATAAATATGGCTGATAATCAAAAACAAAATAAACAACCCGATTACGAGGTTCAAAAAACACAATTGTCTGGTCAATTGAAACGTATACAACAATTATTAAAAAATAAAACCGAACAAAACGCACAATTACAAACAAATTATAATGCTCTTCTTAAAAAGTTAACTAACTTAGCACCAGATGTAAATGCTGCTGTAAAAAAAGCATTACAAGAGTCACAACCTTTATTTGAAGATGCTTTAAAAAAATCATTAGAAAATTTAAATATAGCAAAAGATATTAAAGATATTAAAGAAGCTGTAGATAAAATTGATAACGAAGATTTAAAAAAAATAATTAATGAAAAAACACAATCAATAGAAACTAAAATTGAAAATATTAACATTTCAGAATTACCTAAACCACCTGATGTTGATTTATCAGAACTTTTAAAAGAAGCACGAGAAATACAATGAATGGAGAAGAAGGTTTAAAACAGTTACATGAAGAACTAATGAGAATTAGAAAAATTCTTGAAGAACAAAGAATAGAAATAAAAACCAAAACAGAAATGATAAACTTATTAACACAGAATACCATCAATTATGTAGAGTTTAAACAAAAAAAAATTTTTTTTTATATTAAAAATAGTTATGTTCATGAGGTGTTGGCGTTTTTTTTTTTTATTATATTATATTAAAATATTTGTATCGAGTGATTGATATTATTATTATTTTATTTATATTTATTATTTTAAATCAGTATTTAGAAATCAATATGCGTTGTATTATTTTAAAATAAATTGATTTTATTAAATAAATATACAACGTTATTTTTTTTTTATAAATAGAGTTTATTAAAATTAAAAAGTAAAAAAAAAATATATCTCACATCAATCATTCTAATAAAATTATTTGAAGCACATATTGCGCTTCAACGTTGCATTAATTTGTATAATTGAATTATATTTTCTATCCAAATTTATAACGAATATATATATTATTATATTTCAAATCTTGTAAGTTATTATTATTTAGGTTTTTTATATTTAAATACTATAAATACTAAATGGAATTAATTTTAGAATACAATATTTATTTTCGTTTATATCATTAAAGTAAGTTAAATTTATTATTATATTTTTAATGTAAGTATATATACTAACTTTATAAAAGATTTTTGCTCTTTTTTTTTATTTTCTATTTTTACTTTTTTTATTTGTAATTTATTTAAAATATCGGTTACACGATGTTCAAATAGCCTATCAACATATTATTAAAATTTATAAATATTTTTATTATTAAATAAAGTTTATTTATAAATTAGAAAAAATGTCTGATGATGTAAATTCGATGACAAATTCTTCTGCAAGCGAACTTTTGTTGGAGCGAATAGAGACAGAAATCATTTTAATAAAACAAGGAAAAAATATAAATGATAGTTTGATTGTTATTAAAAATATAACAAAAGAAATTTTTGATTATCATGATAAGATGATTCAGCTAAAAGAAAACGAGATAATCATTCATAAATCA